GAATGCTCATCTAAATGAACTGTGACTTAATTTGTCGTCTGGTGTCTCTGCCTCTGATTATTTATGTCTGGATGGGCATTCGCAAAGCAAATCCATAGGGCTCCGAAATTTAATCAAGTTGTTACTAAATGAATTTGGATTACAATAGATGATAATTTGGTAAACCTGTAATTTAATTGAGAATAATTTCTAACTTGGCACGATTGAAATATACGAACTGCATGAATGGCTTCGATTTAACCCAATAAGTACACAAACATTTCTGATATCGGAGCCACGGCTGGGGCAACTTTTCCACAAGCTGCTCCTTGCCATTTAAATGTTCATTCCTCTGCTCCTGCCAGCTGCTGCGAAATCCGAGTAGCTCGCAAATTATATGTTAATGCAATTGTAATTGATACAAATTTGATTTCGGAAGGAATAAAAATGTGTTGCTCCAGCCGCTGCTGCTGTCGGCATTGGAAATGAGAAATCATTCGGAAGCGATGTGGGGGAAAGTGGAGGGAAAGCGGCCGGGAAACTCGCATGCCCGGCACATTGTGCCACTACGTGTGTCAGCTGCTATGGGTGGCGAGTGGGTGGCGGCTGCTCGAGATAACGCAATAATTTATATGAACTTTACAGGGTCATTAATTTAAAGCTTATTCAGTTGTTCAAGATTTATTAAATTAACTCAAGTTGTGGCAGCCAAAATTTCGGAAGTTTGAGGGTTTAGCAGAGCGGGCAGGAAAACGGAGGCTGGGTTGGTTATATAATCCATTTCAGGCTCAAAAGGAAGTTGGCTTCAGCGATTTTGGTTTTGTTCTCATAATCCCGGGACTTGACGATAACATCAATGCTAAGAACTTGAATAGAACAATTAAGTTCAGGCAGCGCTTAAATACATTTTCGTTTATGATTTCGATTTACTGATTATGTTCGTATTTTACCTATTTAAAAAATATATCTTTAAAAAAAACAACATAAAGAACTTGTCAATAGACACGTAGCAGCAGTGGCTAAGATCATTGGCTCTAGTAAATCATCAGATGACTTGCTAACTATTATTTATTTTCTTGGTACCATACCCTAAAACTAAACCATATAAACTAGAAACCGTTGGGAATTCTAAGCGACGATGCGAAAGCAAAAGTAAATCTCGAAAGTTTTACAGTTTACTTTCAAACGAAATTCATTCGAAAATGCTATACTTACGGGTTTTCTTGATTTGGGAGAGGTTTCTTTTACATGCATGATCTATCTTTTATAGTATCTGCGATCTGTTGTTTTACACGGATCACTGGTCAAGGATATATATATAAACTTTATGTGGCATACCATTTTCGGTTACCACTAACCTATAACACCATTACCCTATTTCCAGTATCAGTACCCTCTTTCTACCGGGTATAAAAAAGCAGCCAAATGCCGTCTTCGCCCAATTGGTTAGACATAATTAAATTAAAATAAATACGTTGTAATGCCAGCGCAGTTTGGGGATGGAGTAACCGTAATAAGGAATAACAAAGCTACCTGTTTGCTAATATCAAAGCCAAAACCCAATGCAATCCAATTTATTGCATTGACCGCGACCGAATGGGCGGGGATCCGCAGGCAGAGAGTGGCGTCTAGCTTGGAATTGCGATTTGCTTGCCCAGGTAAATGTTGCTGCAAAAACAAAAATTCAAAAGCAGCCAGACGGAGCTACATTTTGATTGAAACGCTGCAATTTGGCCTCGGAAGGCAGGAGGATCGGGCAGGGATAGAATATCGAGTATTCCCCAGACAAGCAGGGAACTGGCAAGGACGGGGAATATTCATGGCAATGCCAATGCCAACCACAAAAACGCATTGAATTGAAAATGTTTGAATATATATTGCAAGTTTGACTTGATTGAAGCACTTGATATCGTTTCCTTTTTGACAGAGCCAGTGACGCCACTTGACGGAATCCTGCCCTCCCCAAACTCAACCCCTTTACTATTCTTTGGCTCAACTGTGCTCGAGGATTACCGGAGGCCGGGCCATGCGGTGGGCCGAGCCACTAACGAATTTACATTCATCACTTCAAGTTGGTCAATTCCTGACGATGACCCATGAGTTAACTTTAATAAGTTTAAATGTATTCAAGTCGAACATAGCAAATGTCAGGTATGCGAGGCTTGAGCACTTAACTGTAGAGAAATTTGTGATAAAATTAATAAATGTGTCTTAAAAATATTGAAGTTTCTGTATGTACCATAGTAGTATTTATTGAGTAGAAACTGGCGTGGCCTTACTCTCTAATTTTAGAAACATTTCAGAGGCTGAGTAACTTTTGTGGCGGCATATCAGACTTCCTCATTACGGTCATTGAGCACTGGGTTCGGCAGAATCATTGCACCGTGCGCTGCTTAGTTTTTATAGCCGGGACGGAAGTACCAGAGTCACTGAATAATAAAAGTCAGAATTTAAACATTAATTAGAGCCATCGATGCGCAGCCAACGAAAATACCTATCAGCGGGACCGGGGCCCACGTGTCCTGCATGCCAAATACGCATCACGTAAGCGGAGAATCCGCAGGATACACAGCAACCGAAAAGTTGCCGCGACCTGTTTAATGTGGATAACAATTTCGGGGCACATTTTGTGTGCTCTCCTTGGCCGCCGAGTCGTGGCATCCGCAGGATTCACAGAAACTAACCGCAAGACAAAATCCGTCGGAGAAGTTTGCGAGGAGTTTAACGCCATTTTTCGTATGCGTGGTCTGCGTTGATTTTACGACATTTTCGGCAGCGATTTCCATAAAGCAAAGTCGACTCGCACGGTCTTATGCCCGTGTGTCCTTGCCGCACGGCGGCTAACTCCATAAAATTACAAGATACTACCTGTTAGAAGTTCCTCTTCGCTGAAATTCCAATAAACTCACTGCACAATATTAGTTTTTATGCGGCATCCAGCAACAACAAAAAATGCTGGCGGAGAAAAGGAGCAAGTACACTTGCAAACAAAAAGGAGGAAAAGTTTGGCGAGCGGAGGAAAAAACTGCAAAATCATTTAAGCAAACAGTCACAGACTTTGGCAGCCTTCCGCTGGATCTACGATACCTGCATGGAAAACTTTCCGCTATGTGACTTTCAGAATTTTTAGTTTTGATTTCAGGACTTTTCCCCGCTGCCATTGTTGTTGGCAGCTTAGTTTTGGTTTTGGCCTTAGCTGCAAATATTGCAAGTTGGCCCAAAGTCACGTGCAAGTTTACAGACATTCGGTTTGGTCTGGCACTTGGCACCCGTGAAATGGTTTTCAAGAGCCAGCTACGTTGTCTTTAAATTCTAGGAAGCTGTGCAGTTGGTATCTGGTAAGTTTCGCCAAGAAGAAAGCGTTGAAAAGCTTGTATTTAAATACGATTTCATATTTTGATCTCTAAGAACAATAGCCATAATATAACTGAGGAGTTTTGATAAGGTTCTAAAGTAATTAGATTGTAGATTACAACTATCCAATTCATTTCGATAATTGTAACAAATAAATAATATTAAGGGGTTCCAATTCAAAAGAAGAGTTTATACATTCATTTTATTACAAAATAGTCTAGAAATTATTATTAAAACTAAATAGTCTAGAAACAATAACAAAAGGTACGAATATTTTTGCTCCTTATGGGAAGTTTCAATATAAAATATGTTACTATGACAACTAAAAGATATTTCAAACAATAAAACGTTTTAATTTATTGGGCATACTGTGTTTTTAAGAAGATTTATTTGGGAAACAATTTAATATGTGCTTATAAGTTTATTTTTAAGTAATTAATATAATTTTAAACGACTTAGTTTGTATTGCGTTTCTCGACTATCAATAGTAAACCAAAATAATAATTGTAAATTTTTATAAAATCCAATTAGCTGCGATCTTGCTGACAGATTAAAGAACAAGTCAAAAAGTTAACACTATATACTATATACAGGTTAATTTGAAAGCGGAACTCCACTGCCATTTAGCCCCAATCCTGTGGCGCTGCCGGGGCAAGGATGAGCTGCTCAACACCTTTTGCAGTGAATGGAGCAGAAGAAATCATATCAAGTGCTTCGGCGAACGGATATAATATATATAACAATTTTCACACAATTTTCCTAACACGTTATTTGCGCGTATTTCACATATCCTCGCTGCGTTGCTGTTGCTGTTGCTGCCAGGATGCCTGCTACTCCTGTGGCTGTAAGTGTGTGCGTGTGAATTAGCGGCAAACGGATGTTGAATTGGTTTGCCTTCGCCTCGGCGTGCCACTCAGCCGTGAAGATGTGTGCGCTCGTTTACGTATACGTACACGGGGGCTCCTTGCTGCTGTGTATGTGGAGGAGCATCTTGTGGCTGGTTTTTCCCCGTCCAATGTTGACTGCTTGTTTTTATTCCCTTTTTGAGCGCAGGATGTGCGCAGCGCAGTCCTGGCACGTTGGCGCGCTTAAATCAAAGCAATTTGCCAAGCACAATCGTGTTGTAAATTATCGCCGCAGGATTTTGTTTTATTAAACCGAGAGTTTGTGTCCGTATGTGAATATGCGATGGGATGGGTCTGTTATTGTGTTTGCGACCTGCCCGAGATTCATCGGGCGGCGTCTTGACTTGGCACTGATTGCTACTGGGATTATGCGGGGGCAAGTTTAAAGTATATAGTTCTTAGCAATCTTAAAGCATAAATACATTAAAATGAGAGCAAGGGCTTTAAGATTCTACAAGATGAGTAGAGTTTAAGTTTTATACCTATACGTATGAGATTAGGAATAAGGGAATCTAGGGACTTTGCAAAAATTAAATAAAAACATTGTCCATAAAGATTACATTTATTATCGCACTGCTTATTATTCGGTACTTCTGCTGTGTTCTTACTTTGGCAGATTTATTAATATTTACTTAGGCGCCGAATGAATAGTCAGCGGGGAATCTAACACAAAGGAAATTGAGCTCACACTGGACTATGTACATCCACTGATAAACCCAAAATCGGCTTTAGTGATTAGTGAATCTGCCTATAAATTGAAGACATTTCTCTCACTGGGAATCGGTGCCAACTAGTGAGTGGCATAGTAAAGTCTAAGTGCTAAGTGCTAATCTTCAGTACTGCAGTATCCATTAAAAAATCGTGATACCGCACTCTTTAGTAACAGATCTTTAAACAAACAAAATGAATTCGGTACAGACTGCCGTATTAAAGAAGATCACACAAACATTCGAGATTGGACAAATACTATTCAACTATGGCGCTCGGAAATACACAGAGGGATCCACTGCTGCAACTTTATATCGGGATATCCGAAAACGTTATGAAAACCTTACCACCTTATTAAGAGACGATGATGTAAATATGAATAAAGTGTTCGAAGAGATAAAAGATTTTGCTGAATACATGAAAAGTCTGGCTCCTAGTGCAATTGCAACTGACATTGACGGTGACATTAAGGAGGAAAATGAGAGAATACGTCGATTGATCATCTCGGTAAAAAATCTGATATGTGATTGCGACCCGAGTATAATAACAGCCATCGAATCTCTCAATGCAGTTACTGCGAACAGTCCCTTGTTAAAGCGCATCGGTGATATGCTAGAGCTAAAACCCAATAGCAAAAAACGGCAACGACGGGAAAAAGACGACGACGATTAAAAAGACGACGAAGCTCTTTTTCTAGAGCAACGACGATCGGCAGGGAGGTTCTACAAGATGAGTAGAGTTTAAGTTTTATATCTATAATTATGAGAATTAGAAGAGTCTAAAGTAAAATCAACAAAAATGAAATAAGGGAAACTGTTATTATCTAAGAACTTTGCAAAAATTAAATAAAAACATTGTTCATTAAGATTACATTTATTATCGCACTGCTTATTATTCGGTACTTCTGCTGTGTTTTATCATTGGCAGACTTGTTAATATTTATTTAGGCGGCGATTGAAAAGTCAGCGGGGAATCTAACACAAAGGAAATTGAGATCACACTGGACTATGTACATCCACTGATAAACCCAAAATCGGCTTTAGTGATTAGTGAATCTGCCTATAAATTGAAGACATTCCTCTCACTGGGAATCGGTGCCAACTAGTGAGTGACATAGTGAAGTCCAAGTGCTAATCTTTAGTATTGCAGTATCCATTAAAGAGACGTGATTCCGCACTCTGCAGTAACAGATCTTTAAAACAAACAAAATGGCTTCAGTACCGACTTCCCTATTAAAGAAGATCACACTAACATGTTTCGAGATTGGAGAGATACTATTCTACTTTGGCGCTCGGAAATACACAGAGGGATCCAATGCTGCAACTTTATATCGGGATATCCGGAAACTTTATCATACACTTACCATCTTATTAAGTCATGAAGTAAAGATGGATGAAGTGTTCGAAGTGATAAAGGTTTTTGCTGAATACATGAAAGTTCTGGCTCCTAGTGCGATGGTAAATGACATTGATGGTGATATTAGTATGGTTAATGAGAGAATAGGTCTATTGATCATCTCGGTAAACAATCTGGCATCTTATTGCGACCATGGCGCCTCGGTGATATGCTAAAATAATTTCTGCATCAAACATGTGTGGGAGTGATTTTACTTATCACTACCACTATCAATACCTACGACGCCCTGGACAACGAGAACGAGTAGACGAATTGGTATACATCCCTGAGCGAAAAACGGCAACAACCCGAAAAAGACGACGACGATTAAAAATACGACAAAGCTCTTTTTCTAAAGCAACGACGATCGGCAGGGAGGTTCTACAAGACGAGTAGAGTTTAAGTTTTATATCTATAATTATGAGAATTAGAAGAGTCTAAAGTAAAATCAACAAAAATTAATAAAAGGAAACAGTGTTGTTATCTAGGGACTTTGCAAAAATTAAATAAAAACATTGTCCATTATGATTACATTTATTATCGCACTGCTTATTATTCGGTACTTCTGCTGTGTTTTATCATTGGCTGACTTGTTAATATTTACTTAGGCGGCTATTGAAAAGTCAGCGGGGAATCTAACACAAAGGAAATTGAGATCACACTGGACCTTGTACATCCACTAATAAACCCAAAATCGGCTTTAGTAATTAGTGAATCTGCCTATAAGTTGAAGACATTTCACTGGGAATCGGTGCCAACTAGTGAGTGGCATAGTAAAGTCTAAGTGCTAAGTGCTAATCTTCAGTACTGCAGTATCTATTAAAAAATCGTGATACCGCACTCTTTAGTAACAGATCTTTAAAACAAACAAAATGAATTCGGTACAGACTTCCGTATTAAAGAAGATCACACAAACATGTTTCGAGATTGGACAAATACTATTCTACTATGGCGCTAGGAAATACACAGAGGGATCCACTGCTGCAACTTTATATCGGGATATCCGGAAACGTTATGAAAACCTTACCACCTTATTAAGAGACGATGATGTAAATATGAATAAAGTGTTCGAAGAGATGAAAGATTTTGCTGAATACATGAAAAGTCTGGCCCCTAGTGCAATTGCAACTGACATTGAAGGTGACATTAGTATGGATAATGAGAGAATACGTCTATTGATCATCTCGGTAAAAAATCGGATATGTCATTGCGACCCGAGTATAATAGCAGCCCAAGCATCTATGAATGAAGTTACTGCGAACAGTCCCTTGTTAAAGCGCCTCGGTGATATGCTATAACCCAATAGCAAAAAACGGCAACGACGGGAAAAAGACGACGACGATTAAAAATACGACAAAGCTCTTTTTCTAAAGCAACGACGATCGGCAGGCAGGTTCTACAAGACGAGTAGAGTTTAAGTTTTATATCTATAATTATGAGAATCAGAAGAGTCTAAAGTAAAATCAACAAAAATGAAATAAGGGAAACTGTTATTACCTAGGAACTTTGAAAAATTTAAATAAAAACATTGTTCATTAAGATTACATTTATTATCGCACTGCTTATTATTCGGTACTTCTGCTGTGTTTTATCATTGGCTGACTTGTTAATATTTACTTAGGCGGCTATTGAAAAGTCAGCGGGGAATCTAACACAAAGGAAATTGAGATGACACTGGACCATGTACATCCACTGATAAACCAAAAATCGGCTTTAGTGATTAGTGAATCTGCCTATAAATTGAAGACATTCCTCTCACTGGGAATCAGTTCCAACTTGTGAGTGACATAGTGAAGTCCAAGTGCTAATCTTCGGTATTGCAGTCTCTCTAAGTAGTATCCATTAAAGAGTCGTGATTATATTCAAATCGACCTTGTGGTTTACTACCTTAAGAAACTTCAGTTTATTCCGGCTTTCATATAGAATCACTATCTTGAATTCCTGACCTAAAATAAGGACATACATATCTGTTAATTAAGAAAATCGTATGTTTAAGTAGTGGATACAACGGCGATTGAACACAATAATCTTCGCAGTGTGTTACCTACTTAATTAGTCGATTTTTACAAGCGTCGTCAGTGAGGCTTTTCACTTATTTCCGCAACAAACATCTATTTATAAAGAAACTTTTTTATAAATAAATTATAAAGCTATTCATAAAAAACCATGAATATCAACTTGATTTTAATCAATTATTTTACAGACTTCGGGAACTATGGGAGCTAATTGGTCAAGTAATGCTAATAGCAAAGGACTTTCATCTAATGTTAGCTCTTAGCTTTATACCAATAGTTAACTTTATATTCTTATATTTAAATAATCAATCCGTGATGTTGGCTAGCTAAACATATTAATGCAATATTGTTTTAAAGTTATGAAATCGGGGAGTTGATAGCTGAAAGGTATATATACAAGATAAGAAGATATGGAAATTGACGTTCATTAGCAGTAATCCGGCCGGTCTGTGAATTTTGAAATATGGGGATCAAAAATTTCGAACGGATTCATATAATACTAAATATATATTAAAACTATATAATTTAATACAAAGGGAAAGAGAAATACATTGTTTAGGTATAACAAAACCCTAATACGGTTCTAATATTTATTTTCGGGATAATTTTGAAGTTTGAATTTAAAAAGTTCAGGATAAAATTCTGAATTGAAAAACGAACTTGAGGTTCATCAAGATTAGGAAAATTCGTATTCGATTTTTAGATAATTTTGGATTAAAATATTTAAACTTTATTCCGAATTTGGTTTTCTTTTGGCCAATCTCCGAGATAAGCAAACTGTAATTTAAGTTAGTTTTCTTTAATCTTATCACTGTCAATTTCTAGACATTTATATTATTTCGTAAAATGTTTTTTAGAGATTAAAAAGTTTGATATTTCCTATTATTTAACTTATTCGACAGATTTCGTTCAGGAAATAATCTGGCGCGAAATCGGCTAATCAGCATTGTATTTCGGCTGAACAGCTCGGCAATTTGCTGCCTTCATTGTGCCGTCACTAAAATCATTAGTCAACCTCAATGATACTCCCGACGTGATCGATTTCCCGACAGACAGCACCCCGTGTGTTTACATGCATAAATCAAAGTTGCGATAAGGTTAATACAATTGCCGCTCGCCCGCGCGGCTGCATACTTAACACCTCTTGCCGGTGTGTGCGCCGAATCAGGGAATGGATGAGTGAATGAAGAAGCTACCGGATAGACGGACAGACAGGCCGGAACGATTTAGCTGACATTCGCAACATTGTTGCCCAAACACAAGGAGCTTGACAGCCTACAACGGCAGCGACAATGGGCCGGGACAGTGTCAACGAGCGGCGGCGGCGGCAACAACCAAATGGTGTTAAAGCTGCCATCGGTGGCATTCCTGCCATTTTGCCATTTTTCGCACGTGTGCCAAAGCCCTGACAGTGAAAAGTGTGTGCGGGGCTGTGACCGTGTGTGTCGGTTCGGTTATGTGAATGATTTTTCACTTTTGCCGAAATACATTTTTATAAATTCTGACAGCGCATTTGTTGAGCTCACTGGTGTCGATGCTGCCAGCAAAGTTGATAAAAATGTTCCCCTTCTTCTCCTTGGAAATCTTTCCTGAAAGGAATATCGGGGCTTGTGTGCGCATCGTCATGGCCCATGACTTATAGGGGCTAGAAGAGCATTGATGGCGGAACAATAAGGAAGCTGAGTTACTTATTCAAGTTGATGGTGGGTCCGTTAAATTTAAAATGTCAGTACAAAACTATTAACTATAAAAATGTTTAAGTTGCACCGTTTTCGATTACTGAATTACGATCAAGACAAGCTTGAACAACATTTGGAATTCAGAAATATTTACGATAGTAATGGGCAACCATTTGAACTGTAATCCGTTTCATCAGTCTCATCTCTCAGTCAGAGGTAAACAAAATTAGCTGTCAACAGCTCCGAACAGGGCAATCCACTTTGAGTGCCACAAGCAGCGGGGATAATAAACCACATAAATATTATAACTTCATCAAGGCTCAACAGTTCTCTACCCCCACAGACGCCGGAAAGTGTTGAGGCGCCAAGATTGATGATACAAAAAGTGTGGGAGACAATGACCGACGTCCTGCAACTGCCGCGAAGACTGTTTCCGACTCGCAGCTCAAATATTTTGACCAAATTCCTCGGCCATCCACTTATCACCGGCCTATCATCGTCTCATAATGTTGACATTTTTCACACAGTTCAATGGGCATCAAAACTGGTACGTGTCTGTTGTTGTCTGACCTTATCTGTGGCTGGCAGGGGATTCAGCCATCGAAGTATCTGAGGGCTGCTGCTGCCGGGGAGATGAGAAATGGCCCGATGAATGTCCCTTTGTTTGATTGACTCGTCTTGGCCTTTGTTTCAATGACTCGAAACATCTTGATGATAACTTGTCCAAACACAGACAATGTTGATATATACAGGGCATTCTGATGTATCTAGGGAGAGGGAG